TAATAAAAGTATATAGAAATAAGAAAAAGGGAATAAATATAATATTTAGGATATAAATATAAGATTTAGAGTAATAAAATAAAAGTGAAATAATTATACAATTAAATAAAAATAATGAAAAATGATAAAAATTAAGAAAAAGAGAATTTCATATAATCAAAGAAAGATTATTGAATTAAAGAAATTTATATTACTTTGGTAACATTATATATATTATATTTCTTCTTCTGTTGATGTATATTTAGTGCTGAACTTAAAAAAATAATAAAATTAATACAAGTATTAAAATATTATATAATATATTGTTTAAAAGAATGTCAACATAAATATATTTTTTTACTGGAAATATAAAAAATTTTTAAATATAATATCAATATTATAAAAATAATATTGTACTTATATAAAATTTTTCAAATATTTTATTAATATATTTTAAATTAGCAAATATATGACTTATTGTAAGAATATATATCAAGGTTCAATTAGTTTCTACACATACATGTAAAATAAATTCAGTTTTCTCTAATATAAACATTATATTATTGAGTAATGCAAGCAAAATTGTATGTTTTATTTTTTTTGAGATTCCATCAAAATTTTCTTTATAAATTATTTTTAGATTTTTGTATTAAACAAAAATTTTCTACTATATAAAATCCAATTACTGGTTAATAATTATATCCTAATAATAAATTTTATTTAATTATTAATTATTATTATCATTATTATTTTACTTAATATGAATAAAATTTTTTATATATTTGAAAGATCCTCCAAATACAAAAACTCACCACTAGTCTGATACACATTACGAAAATGTGATCATGAACAATCAAAACTTATAGATAATACTTTTTCTTGTTCTGGTAAATGAGTTACTTCTAATTGATTTAAAATCTCATGCAAAAGTATTTCACTATTGAGCTTGACATTATCGATAATAGGTTTATACATACGAGTTTGATAATTATAATAAGATTATTTGCTACTTTGATTTATTACTCTAATTACTACTAATGCTGTTTGAAAAGAGTTTTGATTAATCCCTCCAGCAAGTGTAGCTTTTGCAGCTAAATGAAAATGCTTTACTCCTAAATCCTCATTTGAATATTGTATTAATATATTACAAAGAATACATGTAATATTACATGATATATTAAATTCTAATATTGTAATATAAAATTTTCAGTTTGATACAAGAAGATCAAAACAGTTAGAACAAGATAATGAAAGAAGAACAGAAAGATATTGTAACGTACTTATAAAAATTGTTGATCCTAATTTTCTACTAATTTTTGAATTTCTATTTTGTTAAGTGCTGTTATATCAAATTTAGCAGATTTGTCAAGTTTTTCTTGTAATGTTTTGATTGTTTTGTTTCGGGAATAAATTGTTTGCTGATCTTCCATATTTTTTAATATTAAAGCCTGTGCTATTTTGGGAGATAATATTTTTTCATCCGGTTCAATCTGAATTCCACAAAGAATATTATTACTGGTATTTTTATGTAAAAATGCATCAATTTTTTCTTGTTTTCATTCTAAACTGCGATATAATGTTTCTTATTTTTTTTTGTATATTAGTTTGTTGTAAACATTTTGAGTTTTATAGATAATAATATTTATTTTTTTGATATCGATATACTATAACAAAGCTCTGCATAGATCTTATATACATGATATTAGATAAAATGTGATATAGGCTAAAATGTCGGCTTGGTGAAAAATATCGGTAGTTAATCATGTGAATTCTATTTTTATTAGATATTCGAGATAAATGTGACTATTTTTTATTGGTCAATAAGAACAGGTAATACAAAAAAATTTAGTTCACCATTTCATAACGAAAATGATCAACATAGACTCTACCCTTAAAGAGGATTACGGATAATCTGGAATAATAATATCTGTTTGTTTTTTATTTCATTGTAGGGGGCTGTGTTGGTAGATGTTCTTGTGTTATTTGTGTGTTTGTTAGCTTGCATATGAGTGCAGATCAAGTGATTAATGATCAGCGATGCAAGTGGTGCGTTATTTATGCGGGCCACAGTATGTACTGTCAGGATTATGAATATCGGGATTTCGTACGGATCCCATTCGATTAGGCACCCAAAAAAAGACAATGATAAACTTAAAAAACATATCTTAAACAGTTACTTAGGGTCACAGTATCTTGGCATCCAGTGAACTGTTTTATGCTATCATTTAATTCACCTCGTCCAAACGGGTCGAATGGTTGTATTTTTGTTTGAAACGGATCACAGAGCATTGAAATAATGCATCCAAAACAACCGAATCATTTTTTAAAATCGTCTTTTTTTGGTCGTCACCCAGTTAACCATTTATAACGTAAATATCATCATTCGATTCGTCTCGTCAAGGCGACTCGATTGGTGTTATTTATGTTTGAATTCGATCACTGGGTATCAAGATATCGCGTCTAAAAAGTGACCGTTATTTATAAAAAATTAATTTAAAATGGTGACTGAACAAAGTATTACGTTTTCTATGTAAAAAGATTTTTTCATTAGATTTTGTGTTATTTTATAGCGATAGTGTCCGCATAATTTTGACCGGCCTCTGTACATCATTTTTGACTTTTAAATTTTTTTTTACCCAAGTCTTTCACAAATGATTTTATTATAAAATGGTCACATTTCTAAATTTCTATAATAGCAATTTCTTAATGAACAATTGAACTATTACAAACAATAAAACTGATATGTATAGCTTGTTCAAAATCTCTTAGACACATTCCCCGTCAATACACTGTTTTCCCATGACACACGCATATATGCAAGGTTTAGTAGTAGTAGTAGTAGTAGAGGTAGTGCATTTTCCCGTACATTTCCCTTGATTGCATGCTTCAACGCAGTAACCGCTAGCACAGCGCAAAAGGGCACATGAAGTTCGTTTTTGGAGTGCGGAGTTAGGTATTGCTAAAGAAAATGAATAATAAACAATGGTCATTTTAATTAAATATTTTAATAAACAAAAAACTTTTAACTTTACCTTGCGCGATATTCAACAGCAAAAAACACAATAAAATGCAATATAAATTACTTTTCATTTGTAAATTAGCTTTGAAGGTAAGTTTTCATAAGAGGTTTAAATATAACGATAATGTATGATTTGACTGCACAAAGTAATAAAAGTAAAAATTGCATTGTTTAAATAACAAAAAGCTTCAGCATACGTAAGTGCTATTTTTGTAACGGTAACTGTATTTTTATGCAGGAGAGTACGTACTAATTCAAACATAAGTCAATCAATCATTTTGGAAATAACGATAAAATAAATTGATTGTTGATCATATTTGGATTTTTAGAGTGTGCGTATATCAAGAAATTCATAAGACCATTATTAACCTCTTCCCAGCGTTGTCATTTACTATGCCAGTAACCAGAAATTACTAAGTCCAATGGTCAATGGCGCAATATTGGACTATGTCCAGTATGGTCCAGTTGATAACACTGCCTCTTCCTTACGTGTCACCATAGGCCATGTGATATGTACATGTATTACCGTTACCATGAGAAGAAACACGACAATGCGAAAACAGATAGTATCTTTGTTCACAAATATTTATCTATATTTGTTGAAAATACAAAAGTTACCATTTAACCTAACAACTTTAGAAAACAAGATTCGCAACTGTTACTTTTTATTTTGTTAATGATACATAGGTTACTTGTTGAACTATCACAAACAATAAACCTGATAGGTATAAGTGATAACTAGCTTTTTCAAAAATCTCTTAGACACATTCCCCGTTAACACACTGTTTTCCCATGACACACGCATATTTGCAAAATTTAGGTTTAGAGACGCATTTCCCACTACATCTCCCGTAACTGCATTCGTCAACGCATTGAGAACCAGCAGAACAGAGTATAAGGGCACATGAAGTAGTTCGTTCTTGGAGTGCGGGGTTAGGTATTGCTAAAGAAAATAAATAATAAACAATGGCCATTTTAATTAAATATTTTAATAAACAAGATTAATCCATATTTCGTGTTGATCCCTTTCGAAAGATTTACCAATGTTGAATACCTTACAAAAGGGACAATTTATAAAGCATCTTTTCACAGATATGAGTAGGATCACAAAGAAAATATATTTAAACGAGTCGATGAAGATAAACGCGCGAAGTTGTGTTGAGATTACGTAATTCAAAACAAATCATAAAAGAGGTAAAAATGAACAATTTAAGTATGTTGCTCTTTTTTTTGTTTTCAAATAAACTTAGCTTTTCAAAAAATAGATTCGGACTACTCTAAAGTTCAGTGATCTTTACTTTCCAATAAGTTATGGCATAACTAAAAACCCAGCTACGAATGCATACTCAATAGTATTTGTTTATCCAAAATATAGGTATTATTAGGATGAGCGTGTGGAAGTAAATTTACACAAGTGTATTACTTCCATTGACTTGGGAAGAAAAGTTACGTTATTTATCTTGGGTTATCAAAAGTCTGAGAATAAATAATTCACGTAAAAGAACTTGTGTATTATGACTTTCACCCTGGAAAGATATCATTACATATTGATGCTTTCATTGCCAACGTTGGGCTTGCGGATCCAGCAGATAGAAGATCAATCAAGCAAGAGATTTACGGGGTTCTTCCTTATATGAGTCCGGAGGTATTAATTGGAAAACCATATACTGAAGCGGTGGGTATTTATAGTTTTGGGCTGATTACGTACGAGGTTATCATAGGTGAACGACCATTTTGTGAACGAAGTCATGATATAGATCTCGTATGCGACATCTATAAAGGAGTACGACCTACGATACCAAATAATGTTCCTGGACGGTACAAATTTATTATTGAAAAATGTTGGATCTTATTCCAGAAAACAGACCAACTGCTAAGGAACTTATAGAGTTTATCGACTCTATCGAATATCCAATAGAATATAAACCGAATACTTTGCATTTTCAGTATTACAGCTCTTTAGAATCTCCTAAGACACATGAAGAAGTTAAAGAGTGTCTCAAATTAGAAAGGCAGAAATTGATGGGACTTGATGAGGAGATGTAATTGCAAAAAAGCATTCCTACGAATACGAATAAAAAATAAGAAATCCACAAAATTTATATAATGTTATTTATAGCTGGTTCCAAAAAATAGTCCGTTATCGACCAAATTCGCTATATCGATATCGAGTCTCACTGTGTATTTGTTCAGGATCATCTAATTAAAAAGATCCTTTTATTATTTAATTCCTTGGTGTTGTAAAACAGAGAATGGAGATCTAGAGAGTTTCTTTCAAGAAGAGTAACAACTTCATGACGAAACACTTCCAATATCATGCTCGAAACTGGTAAGCATTACCGTTACATTAAACGGATAAAATTCATAATCCCGCCCGTGCAACCATAAATTGATCCAAGATCCCTACGGGAAAAGTGCGTCCGGTCCGGAATTTTACATAAATAGAATTAATCTTATATAGAATGGATCTGGTATGCGTCTGAAATTTATATATACTATATGTATCTGGAAAACATAAGTAATCTTAAATTCCATATGATTATTCCGTATGCATTTGTACGGAAAACGTGCCCACCTGCATACTGAATTAATTCATGACATATTGCTGAGAAATTGCTTACGCATCACGTAAAATACCTGATGCATTTTTCCCGTAGGGGATACGTCCATGCATTCATTTATTAGACTGTCGATATCTAAACCATTCAGCTTTCAAGTAGATGAAGGTAAAAATAAAATATCCATAACAATACACATTTTTTGATGTATTAAAAGACGTAGAGTATATCGTTTTTAAAGAGTGGGATTGAAGAAGAGTACGTAACTAAATGACATGATACGTATGAATAAAACGAATAACGATAATTACAAATAAACATAACATAAAAGATAATCCAAGTATAAAATAAAGTGATTGCTATTTTCTTCCAATACAGCACAGTATTTTTCTTTTGATATTGCCTTATTTTGTTGGAGGTGTTTCGTTATGAATTTGTAGTTTTTCTTGCAAGTTACTCAACATCTCTTCGTTCTCTTTGGTTTCGTGTGGTATACTCAAATCGAAATCGTCTGAAACAAACAAACTGACACTTGTCAACCCTAAACATCCGATATAAGTTTTAATTAACGTGAAATGATAATATCGATATAAAATTATATTTAGAAATAGAAAGTACCTGCCTTAGTTGGGATTGAAATTAGCTTTGTGATAAATATTCGACTGGTGTAAACTGCATTCGACTCTGTTATAGCGGATTCGTCGATTTACCGGGCAGCATGGAGGGGTCCGTTATATCGAGTTTCACCGTGTAGAAAGTAACGAGAACAATGATAGAAGAACGAATGATAATTCCTTCCCCAACCCGAAAACGTCATTTGGAATCAACAAGTACAATTCCTAGTCATATGATCATAAAAAAAAATGAAAAATCTAAATTATCATTATCATTATCGTTATATTAATTAATGTACTTGCCGTCTAAAAAACTACGTGATATCGAACTTCTAATTGGTTCGCCACGAGTTATACTAAAAAATTCCTAATGGACACCGATACTGTGAATCATTTTTCCTGAACGTTTCCATTGGAAACACATTTTGTAGGATATAATGTAACGGTAAGAAACAAAGTTCATATAATACTGTACAAATAAAAAACTACGTATCATTTTTTTTTTACTAACAACGTACATATTTCTATTTTAGCTAACGATAATAGGGGACATGAAGTATGCTGTCTTTTCTTTTTTTTTTATCGCAAAAGTAAATACGTACTATTCTTCTTGAGCAAGGCATGGTTCTAGGATTTTAACCTTAACGGCTCGTCGAATAGTATTGTATTTCTAGTCCATTATTATGTCGCGAGAGAAAGAAGGAGGAGTCCCGTCACGTTAGCTATAATAAAAAACGTAGGCTCGAAAAAGAATAAAATTCGACCTTACCAGAGTATAATGAGCCTGTACTAACAACGAACGAACAATCTTTTTTTCAACCCGAACCGGGTATATATTATTTCGAATTTTTTTTATAGTATTAGTGTGTAAGGGTCCCTTTTGCGTTGACAGATCAACTACCCCACGTTCCTTGTTACGAGTATACTGTATTATGCAAAAATTTCGTTTCTACTATAGAGACGATAGGGCCTCTGACTTTGTATTTCTTGGGCTAGGGTGGTTCGTTCAGTCTGCAAAAAAAAATAAAAAGAAGCTTATGAGTTAATTCAATAAAATGTAATTCTAATCTTTTTTAATAAATTTATCGGATCTTGTCCGTGTACTTTATATATCCGTGCATTCCATGCATTAGCATAGGACCCAGTTTGTGACTCGAGGACTATATACAAGTGACAAAATCTATTACATCGAAAAAGAGTGGAAAGCGTTCCTCTTTGTTCGTTGGATCGTGTAACATCAAAAGGAGTCAAAATTTGGGAAGAAATATTGTTAACTGAAACATTAATTCGAGAAGCTAGGTTAGCCAATAATGAGATATCCGATATCCCATCTAGATTCTTAGACTAAACCTTTTTCTTCAACACAACATTTCCCCGAAGCCATATTCCGACAACCCATATCCTCGACAACCTATTTCACCGACCACCCATATCCCCGACATGACATTTCATCGACATAATATTTCCCCAGCATAACATTTTCCTGAGTCTAGCTTGGTGTACTAAGCAAAAATGTTGGGGAGGACCTTTACATATAATCTTAACTCTAATTCTAACCCTAATCCTAACCCTAACCTGTTGGTTCCATGCAAAGCTAACCAGTTAATGCATTATATCACAATATCCCATCGTGTTGGGGAAACGTCTTTTTCAGGTAAATCTCCATTTGGAGAAACATCATGTTGGGGGTAAATGGGTTCGGATAAATTAATATAACAACACGTTAGTCTAGAAATTCTGAGTTTACATTATTTAATTAACTTCGGTATAAACACTTACCTGTATTTGTTAATATTATTGTTATTGTCTGTCAATTAAATTTAATTTTATGTTTGATTTATTGGAATAATAAAGTCTCTTATTTGAATATATCGATATCAAATACATAAAGCAGTTTAACACATTGATTCGCACACACGAATGGAAGTTCTAGAACACAAATGGGGGTTAAATAAGAATAAATTCTATGATTTTGCTTGTTGTGTTAGACAAAAACCTTTATCGTTATTATTTACAAAGAGATCGCCCTAAATGAATCATCTACGTATAACGATAAGTGCACACCCTCTCTAAATACATCCTATGATCCGTCCTAAGCTGGGATCATAATGCCAAATGCACACTCTCTATATTCTGTATGTGCAATAAATTTCCCAGTTCCGTTATATTTGAATTCCTTCCATAAGTGCATGGCACATGATAAAAATCATGTGCATCCAATCCACTTATTATCATTGATCAAAGACTACATTTAATGGTTAAACTAATAAAAATATATGTGTAATACAAAAATGACCTAACAAATTAATAAAAAACTATATACATGTACATGTACATGTATTACATATAAATTTACATACTAACTGTATACAATACCTGGAAATTTTACGCTGTTTGGTTCATGATATTATAGGAATGATTGTATATTGCTCTTTTGATCAGAACACCTTTTTATATACAATATTTTAGACACTAATAAGAGGAAATATTTAAAACAAGTATGATAAAACAAGTATGATAAAATAAAAAATTCAATTACGTGGAACATGTACATGTATTATTAACATTAATTGTATGTAATTTGTCCGGAGCGAAGCGAAGGACACTCTTTCTCGTACTTATTTGATTGACATAATCACGTGCGAACTCTGTCCGTCGGCTTTCATGCCCCTGATTGGTTGAACACAAAAAATTCTAAATACATGTACATGTTAGCTCCGGACATATAAATGGTATATATCCATTTCTTAGTGATAATGATGATCGAATAAAGGTTAGAACCAGTTATCGGAATTGGACTTATAACCGGAGTTTAATCAGTTTAATTTATAACTGGTTTCAATGATTAATCAGTTTTAATATAACCGATTGGAAATGATTAATTAGTAAGGGTATGGATTTTTGTATTTCAAAAAAATGTCAGGACAGTAATATAACCAATTAATCGGTTGAAACTGAATCAATATAACCGGTTTATTGTTTAAAACTGGTTTTTAATATATAACCAGTTGCAATTTTCAAGGTGTTATCAAAACTGGTTTGTAAAAATATAAAGCACTATCAGTGCGTATGTTTGTGTGGAATCAGAATCGAAATATAATATTGTACTCGCGTCATAATTTGGTCCGAGTAGACTCGAACAACAAGTTATACTTCGAGTAAGTGATCTAGATGATATTTTTCCATCGGGACCAATCCCTAGTTTTAGTGCTGAAATGTAAAATATTTAATTTTCATTTCCACTCCATATCGATAAATTAGCTTCTTGATACTAATAAGTGAGGTATTGTTCCTCTTCAGTGATAGAGTAGATAAAGTCATCAAGTTTTTCAATAATCGGTTTGCTCTCTGGAATAGGATCCCACCATTTTCAATCATAATTTACACCATCCTTTAGATATTGCATGCAAAATCTATGTTTGTTCATCTGTCACAATCTTGTACAAAATCATCACAAACTACTTTTATCACTAGGGCTGTGGCTAAATCTGGTTTTCCAAAATTTTTTGCTGAAAATATGACTTAGACATAATTTTTTTTAGCTGGAACTTAGCTCTTACTTTATCAAACAGTTAGGCAACCAGCCTTGCTTACTACTTAATTAATAATCCCACTAATCACTTCTTTTATATCCACTTTATGCTTTCTACAGTCAAATTCGATATAATAATACGGTTGGGAACATAGTAAATATTTTGCAAATATCATTATATCGAGAATTATTATTAAAATCATTATATCGAGGAAAGTATTTTTTGATATATCGAGTTTTAATTAGTTATAATTATATCGAGTTGTGCTTATATATCTATTTTTAAAGAACCGACTACACACTATTATTTGGAAAAATATAATTCACCCTGAACCGCCAAAGCTCACAACCTAAGTTAACGCAAAGCACTGTTTAGATACAATATTCCCCCTGGGATATCTTACGTGGTAAAATACAGTAGATATTTGCATCGGGAAGTTTGAATCATTTTGGAATAAGTTTGAGGATAGGATATCACAAGAGGCATAATTTCAACGGTACGTTTAACGTTAACGTTAAGGAAACAACAAAGTTAATTTAGAATTCTTAATTTCTCTCTTAAGTTCGCTCTTGAACAATCGTAAAGTAACAAAATAAGCTCTAGAAAAAATAATGTATATAAGAAAGGTCTACAGGCCTCAATAAAAATTAATCTCAACTAATATAAAACTTGTAAAAAACCATTGAGAATTCTTGCGTACAATAATTCCTCCTATGAAATTAAGGTTTGTAAACCCCTTTTTTGTGATGATTGATTAGGACCTTTGATCCAGAAAATTCATTGATATTGATATTGTTACCGCCGGCGATCAAAATTCTTCGATTCCGGTTTTTCTGGATGAAACGGCGAGAGCCGAGCCGCGGACGTCGCCAACGCCGGATGGATGTTACATCGACATTTGCAGATTTCCTAATTCGTTATGTTTTACAGCGTCGCTACACCAAACTCCCCCACACATATCAACAATGCCGCATATTTCCTAAACCGTTATGCCTTTCAGCGTTGCTACAGTATATTACATCACGAATATCAACAACGCTGTAGATTTTTCAGCAAATAACAGCTTAACATTATATGTTCTTCCCCCCGACACGCGAATAAAAACAACAAGCTTCCTTTTTTGGTATACAGCGCGTAGATGCAAACTACTCTGCATCGTTTTTCAGCATCTCCTCATCGTTTTTTAGCATCTCCTCATCATTTTCAGCATCCCCTCATTGTTTTTCAGCGTCTCCTCATCATTTTCAGCGTCTCCTTTAGCACGATTCCAATTGTTGTTGGTTCATTTTGTAACAGTTACTTCTAAAGAACGTCCGTTATGAACTCTTTTTATTGATAATAAAAAAGAAAAAAAAACGTAATGCCTTCTTTTTCTTTAAAAAAAAGGGTATATAAAATAAATACTCAAAAAAAAATGTATAAAAGAATGGCCCACGGGCTACTAATAAAGAGAATTCATATTGCGAACAATTGTTCTCCAAGTAAGCCACTTGTAAAAAGAGAATTGAAATTGTGTACAATCCAAGCAAATTAAACTTGAATTTTTGCGTACAATTATTCTCCCCCTAAGTAAATTATCGCTTGTAAACTCTCTTTCACCCATTTTCCCCCACATTAATCATTATATTGATTGTCGGTTAGGTCCTTTGTACCAGAAAAGGCATTGTTTCGCGTAGAATCGCATTGTTAATGAAAAACCGTTTTTGTGTGATCACCGTTAACGTTATTATTTTTAAGAGTTTAAGACTTTTGTCTAGAAAAGCAACGATTGTTAATAATATTTTTAAGAGTTTAAGGCTTTTATCTATAAAAAGCAATAGTTAAGAAAACCCCGAACACTCACCCAAAACCCATAGACTCCCTTTCCCCCAATCAACATAATCAACGATATCCGTAGATATCGGCACAGGCTCTAGATATCAAATAAACGTCAATCAATCCATTAGTCTCTCCCAAAGTTTTGTTGCGTTAGAAATCCCTCAAATCGCCCCACATAAATCAATAGCGCAACAATATTGTTACGGAATATTGATTGATTTATTGATTGAAAAGCGCTTTATTGATGAATAGTTTAAGGCTTCTAGCTAGAAAAAGCAAACGATTGGAAGTTAATTTTGAAGATAGGATAGATAGAAAACTCCCATTGCATAACTTATACAACCCAAAACCACCTTACCTAATTTCCCCTATGAATCCCTCCCGACTGATTATAACGAATGATGTCCGTAGATATCAGCACAGGAATTAGTGACTAACGAACATAATTGAGTCTATTCACTGTCCCAAACCTATTGTTGCAGGTAAACTCGTCAATTTCGCCTAATTGTAATCTACTGTTACCGCCGACGGTCAAACTTCCCCGATTACGACTTTATGGAGAGAAAAACGACAGAGGAGATCGCCAACATTGGACGCAGGTGTCAATAATGCAGGTTTCCCAAACCGGTAGATTCTACAGCAAAATTCCCATCCCGGTTATCAACAATGCTGCTGATCAGCAAAACAGCAGAAAATTCTCGTCACAAATGTCAATGATGCGATTTGTGGATTTTCCAGCATGCCAACGTGATGATAAAAACAACAAGCTTCCCTTTTTGGTGTGCAGCACGAAGCTACGTCATTCTCCGTACCTTTAACGTCATTTCTTTAGCGTCACCCATCATTTTTTAGCATCTCCTCATCATTTTTCAGCATCTTCCATCATGTTTTAGCGTCACCTCATCATTTCTCAGCGTCACCTCATCATGCTTCAGCATATTTCTGTCAGTTTTCGATTATTGCATTAGTTTCTTCCATGGATGGTAGAACATCCATTATAAACGTTTTTATTAATAGTCAAAGTAAATTTTTTTAAAAAAACAATAGTAACAAATGTAATAATACAAAAATGTATAAAAGAATGGCCTACGGGCTACTAATAAAGAACAGAATAAAATTGTGTACAATTCTACAGCTTGAATCTTTGCGTACAACTATTCTTAAAAGCGAATTATTGCTTGTAAAACTCTCCCCCTTTTCCCACGTTAATCGTGATATCGTACTTGTTGGTTAGGTTCTTTACACCAGGAAAGGCATTGTTTTTGTGTAGATACACATTGTTAATCGCATTATTATTGAGAAACTGTTTTTGCGTGGTTATTTTTAGGAGTTTAAAGCTTTTGTCTAGAAAAAGCGACGAATAATATACTGCGTGGCTAATATATACTTTGTACCTTGGTGTGGACTCTTTTGATGAGGACGAAAACACGCTTACACTTGATGAGTTTTTTGAAATTACATTCGGAACTGATCCGCTGGATTTTGACTCCACTCAATTTGTTACAGAAGAATTGACAGCTGAAATGGTGAATAAATGCGTGGAACGCGCTCTCCAAAACTCTTCACACGGAATTTTACGGGACTTGTTTCCTTATCTTATCGATAGACTTAGCCGCACAATTTCCCTTCGCAAGTTGGTCGATTGTATTCGCCAAATTTTCCGACAAAATCATAATCATCAACTCTTGGGCGGTTTAGTAACCTGCACTGGCCGTGATTTTCTGGTCGCTTTCCTGAATTAAGTATCAGAATAAGCTATGTCCAAGATGCTGAGTACTCTCGTCTCCTCCAATATACCTGTTCCAATACTTTTGACCCATCAACTGTGATCATGTCCTAAAGGTTTGAAGGTTCTCTCTGCGTTGCGTGAATTGGTAATACAGTGCCCGACAAAAGTATCCCGCACCGATAATTTTTGATTGATCATGTGTAGGTCCCTGAAATTTTATTGCATGTTCATAAACTTTCATACTCCAAATACAATAAATCGGTCACTTTAGAACATAATATCTCAACATCCAGTGATCTGATTTGAGCGGAATTATTACCATTCGATTTGTCTAATCTAGACAAATCAAATCATGGTATTTTCGCTCAAATTGGGTCGAAATATTGCATATTAAAGTGACCGATTCATAATTCGCTGATCAATTTTTCATTACAATTTTACTAATTTTGAGCACAAATCGGGAAGATATAATTTCGATTTCTCATCCGGGATCAATCGATATCTCTTTTCATTCAGCATCTGAAAATCATATTCGACAACCGGTTGCAATAGCTGAAGTATATAATAGAAGACGCCGTTCCAACTCATGAATAGCATTGTGAATAGTTTCTCCCAATATGCCTTCTTTCTAATGATACATGTCTCTGATAATGATTTCAATGGTGATGAAATCAGCCAAGAACTATTCTTACAATTTCAACGGATCGATATGCCAAAGAAAAACGCAAAATTTTAGATACGGGTCAAAGGGCGTATGTTACATTGAATAAACGAAAGTATTTGATCGAACAAATTCTTAAATTGGCTTCAAGAGATTCTCGACTTCTAAAGATCAACAGCATCTAGATGAATTAAAGGCCGATATATTTAATGCTATTTTGAAAGTGAAAGAGTTATATTTGTATCCACCTCTTAAGCTCAATGTTTCAACCAGTTCCCATGCAATCACTGATGTTACCCAAGTTGTTTTTTGGTTCGACGTGATGACTCACAGAACTTTTGCCCAGTGCATGCGGGACGCCGACTTTGTTAATGGTCTTAGTGATTTTCGGCGCCATCTTATTTTCCCTGCATCATATGCTGAACACGAAATTGAAAGCCTTATGGATAAGAACCATTCGACAACCTTGGAGGATAACTATAAATTAATATCTGAAGAGGAATTATCTCAGAGAATTGAAAGTTTAAATCTGCCATATGTAACGCACCACCTTTACCCATACTATCCTTATTTGCAAAAGGGATTAATGAAAACGACATATGTAAAAGGCGCGCATTTGCTCGCGACGTCGATAACTTCTTTAAAGAGCATTTACGCGACCTCTCACGGTTGGATCAATCCAAGAGTTCACTCAGTAACGTATCAGACAGCAGATTGAAGATAATGATATCTCAATCCATGATTTTTGGCGGGAATTGGTTATTCTCGCAAAGGTCATGGTTACGAGAGACACTACTGTTTCTCAAAAACTTCATTCCGTTGACATTAAGTAATAAATAGCTTTATTTTGCGTTGTAGTATTTCAAAGATCAAATTATAAATGATGCATTTCTCCAGGACTCTGGAGAACGCCTACCGAACTTGGATAACAGAAGGAGAGACTATGCAAATGTTAGATGGATTATCGCTCCGAGCGCTCGATCCTGACTTTTTATCCAAGGTCCTAGCATCAATAATGACGGATCCAAACCGTCAACTACTTGCCAAGTCTGTTATCGGTTTAGAGAGCTCAGGTAAGTTTACCTTGTTGAATTACCTCTTCAAATGCGGTTTTTCGACTTCGGCTGGACGATGATAAGATTAGGGTGGTTGTGTCCATAGGCATTGGTGGCAACCAATATAATAATAACTTTGGCTATTTTATTTTATAGTACAACGGGAATGTATATGTCATATCGCCATTCTGTGTTTAACGGATAGCCAATTGACCTCCTTATACTGGATTCAGGTTTGTCTTTTTTAAACTATTAACAAGTGTAACAATTAGAGAGAGATTGATTTAAATTTATAACCTTGCAAAAAAAAGAGGGCATAGGGTCTACAGCTCAGAAATACATCACCAGGCGCACAAGTTTCGATAAAAAAATCACGTTACTTGCTTTGATGGTTCGCAAATCGTCATCATTAATACCAAGTGCTTAACGCGTGATATCTCCAATATCCTTGAGGTCTCCCCTTATCATTTGGACGCAATAAAAAGCAAGCAAATCAAAACCGAGATTACATTTTGTACTGCGTGATATGATGTCCAAAAACCAGTTTTTTAGACATTCGGACAAGTCTCGAAGAAATGTTTCGCCAAATTCCTGGCTGCACAGAAGATTTAGACTTTATGACGATAGAACAAAAGGATGTACACCTACTGGTGAACGCTTTCTCATCCTTTAATGATGATTTTCGACCGCGGGCAGAGATTATCTCAGAATCTAAAAACATACATGTACCCGCGGCAAGTCTTTATCAGTTTACATGTGAAATTTTAGCTGCTGAAAATGTAATTTTAAATGAGTTTTATCAATTAACCTGTATATAATTTAGGAAACTTTTCCTATCAAAGTATCAAACTTACGCCAAGCCCTTCTTGCATCAGCAGTTGATTCAGCTTACGATCCAGATACTAAAATGTTTGATAACGTCAATGGTAACTATGGTGTGCCTTTGTTCTTTTCAAAATTTAAAATGTTAATCATATATTCTATTTTTTATATTCAGGCTTTATTGTCCAAATGAAAGCAATATGGGGGATGATTGATGCCAGGGGTAGTTTCCTCCACTTCAATGACTTTAAAGAAATCCAAAAGTGGAATGCGATGTCAAAAATATTCAAAAGAATTTAACACCATTCCGGAACGAAGTAAACAAAAGCATAAGAGTTACATTGAGAAGCTCGAAGCGAATTATAATCAATCAGATCAAATCCACAAGTTTTTGAAGAATCTATCCGGGATTGAAAAGTTACACCGCGCGATGAAGCGTTGCTCGAATTTAACCAGCAAGCCGCTAGTCAATTTGATGCCAGAATTAAAGAAGAGGGACGAAATTTGATCCACAACATGTTCGCCACCGACAAACTTAGTCTCGAAGCAAGATAGTGTGAAGAGGAACGGGAATACAAAGAAAAACACTTATAATAATACCGTGGAAGACTTTGGTCAGCAAATCAAATTCAACTCAAGTTTTGGAAGTGTTGAAAGTGACCAACTATTCAATGATACATGGAAGAATGTGGAACAATCTCACGAAAATTTCATGAAAAGCATTGGAAACACTAACCAACTTGAAAAACTAGTAAATTCATTTAATGAAGCAATCAAAGGAGGCCAGAGCACGGTCAATTCTCAAAACCCAGGTTTTGAACAGAAGTTTAACAGAAAATTCTGGGTGTCACTTGAGATGCCCGCTACATTGGCCACAGAGGGTATCGTGGTGAACTACGATATTGTTGCCAGTTTAATTGTTGTAAAACCTCACGGTATTAAAAGAACAATCAAAAACGCTCTTAATAATTCGGCAGATGTTGACTCGGTCAGACCCGATTCTACTCAGAAGTTCTCGAAGAGGTCAAAAAAAATCACGAATAAAATTTGCACCGAAATCAAAATAGATAAATCTATGCAAATTGAGTATGGCAAAACGCATAGTTGGCTTCAGAGGTTATGCGATGGGCTTTTCAATGTTGTTGGAAATTTGAGCCATTCTCAGACCGAATTTTTGCCACAGATTAATAATTTTAATCCAATTGAGGTAAATTTAGAATCTCCCTACTCTTAACCAATGGGAAACTGAGGCGTATCTTGAAATATCGAAGACGCGTCTTCGGAAGCATGCTGATCAAATAATCGAAGCGAAATGGGACACATTGGAAGGTTGCACTGCGCGTTGTCCTACTTGTGATTCAAAATGTGAAGATATTAAAGGCACCAGACATACACATCGTACCTCTGCACATGTGATCACGGCTTTTGGAGGATATAGGAATGTGCACAGCAGAGAAACAGGCTTGGTTGTTTGTTCTGAAAAAGCAGCACACGAGTCGCTTTGGAAAAGTAACAATACCGTTGATGGACATCAATCAATCACCTTGGTTGAAAATAGAGCCTAAAGATGTTGCGGATAGCGAGATAAGAAATATGCGTGGTGTATGGTGGCATCTTAGAGAGGAATGGTGTGAAAAATATGGTATGAAGGAAATAACGCCAGCGGATTGGGTTAAATATACAAAATGATCAAGTTCATCTTTCATGCAGGTCCTACTTGGTTTATGCTTCAGTGACTTTTTTAGAACTTTAATTTGCTTGCATCAAAAATACGCATTATTTTCCGTCATACCAATTTTCACTATGAATCTCGTTCGCGATCTTGTCTTTTTTCAACCATTGGTCCAAATATTTTTGGATTGATCTGCAAAAATTTTATTTCCAATAATGTATTTTACAAATAATTGGGATTATTTTTATTGGCTCATTAAAATTGTGAATTACGTATAATTTTGAAATTACTCGCCGATTTTCCAAAGAATTGCACGACGTTGAAACGACATGAAATAATTGAATTTTATTCATAAAAATATTGAATAGAATTTCAATGATCCTATCCGTTACAGAAAGAATTCTCAACGTTATGCGATAAATTTCCATATTTTTCAGATTTGTTTTGCCGGGTTGATCAAAAATTCGTTACCCGGCAGTAGAAAATTTACACGCACGTTCTTATTGATTGGTGGGCACGTGAGGGTGAGAGTCATAAATTGACTCGCTTTGAATTTTATTCTGAAGATTTAATATCTTTTGTTATTATCTTTTAACCGTAAAAAAAGTAAAAGAAAAAGGTTAGTAAATAAGAGAAAAAGGAAAGGAGAAGAAGAGTGATAGAGGAATGGAGGAATGAGAAGGAAGAAGAGGGAAATGAGAACGAGGAGAGAAAAACGCGTTATTTCGCGTCATAAAACGCGTCATAAAATGGGTTCGAATGACTTGCGAAAATGGCGCGAAATAGCACGTTCTCTCTCCTTCCCTTTCCTTCACCTTCTTTCTTTTAGATACCTTTGTTTTTTAATATAATTAAAAAATTTACTAATTATTTTACTTTTATTAAAGGTTATTTTCGCTATGGCTCACCCACCATCAGATGATATTAAGGATATTAAAAATCCTGATTATTTCACACAAGCGCTTATCAACTATAATAATACTAACAATACAAAGAATGACAACAACGACAACAATAACAACGACAACAATAATAATAGAAAATCAAAAAAAAGAAAGTTTCTAGCATCATCGCCATCGGAGAAAGAATCGTCATCATCAGAGGAAACGTCACCGGAAGATTTAGAAGATGCAATGGTTGAAGTTGTTTTTGGACCATCTAAAAGAAGGAAAACATCACCATCAACATCGTCATCATCTATGTCACCATCATCATCAACATCATCCATTCATTTGCCAACAGCATTAGCAATTATTGAATCAAACTTTCGACGTTTGATTAACTCATCATCTTTATCACAATCATCATTACTAGAAACTGAATTAGAATTCAACTGTTGGCTTGCTGCCTGTAAAAATCAACAAAAATTAGTTATGCCAGCACCACCAACATCACTGATATTACCATCAATGTCATCATCATTATTATCATCACGTAAAAGAAAAATATCATTATCAACACCATCCAAAACGTCCCGAAGAAGAAAAATATTATCGTCAACGTCGATATCGACGCTACCATCACCATCGAGATTACCATCGACGACGTTACTATCATCGTCAACATCATCATCACCACCACCATCATCATCATCACGAACACCACCACCACCATCAAAGTCACCATCATCATCAAAATTGTTGACATCACCACCAACATCACCAACATCGTCGACATCACCAGCATCACCAATCATTATTTCCTCTCTTTTTCCCTCTTCTTTTTCTTTTTCTCTTCCCATCAGTATCTTTATCCTCACCTTTATTAGTTTAATAGAGAAAGCAATTTAAATTGCTTTCTCTATTAAACTAATAAAGGTGAGGATAAAATAACCACCATACAAAAAAAGTGAAAATCACTATGTTAAAATTGATTTTCCCTTTTTTTGTGTGGTGATTTATTCATTCTTTCTTTATAACTAAAATCTTCATCTTTTCACTCTTTGTAAACTTCCGAACTTTTCAATTTTTAGCCATGTTTTTTACTTTTATTAATTACTTAAAAATCTGAAGTTATTTCTCTAAAAACCATATTTTGGATTATATTAAGTCACCCTCGTTTATGTAAATTGGACTCAGGTTGAGCGTAACGGTGATGCTGGTGATGATAGTCATACGTTTTGTAATTAATTTAGGGTTTCTCATGTAATTGAGATCTACAGTGTCATGTACATGTATCGGTATGATAAAAATAGAATTCGAGTTGTGCAAATCCAAGATCACATGATTAACTACCGACCAACCCGATAATTTTTCCAATATACATCACCCGTCGCCCAATTTCACATCCCTCCTAGATCACCTCACATGCCAATCTAACAAAGGTAATTTTATATATGAATATTGATTACTTCTTATAACGCATCATTCTTATAAAGATCATTGTATCATTATGAGAACAATATATAAACAGTTCGTGTGATACTAATTCGCCATAATTCTGCTAAAAACCTTATCCAGCTAACAATTTGGTGCCCTGATGAAAGATTCAACGAGAAGAATCAAAGCAATGAAGCCGGCGGCGATGTTGAAAGAAGGAATCGCCGAGTACCAGCTACGCAAACCAAAAAAACGCATATACTAATCTGACGATTCAAGATAACGAAAGAAACTGACGAAAGAAACTGGCGAACAAAGAACCCACAAAGTCAACCTCGAAAATAATGAAACCACAAATGAAGGATAAACTTAGACCGGGAGACAAGATAGTGCAAGACATATACCTACAACTGGCGAAAATCGAGGAACTCTTCCCAGTCGACTCTCACGAAGAACTAGAGGAAACCACACAAGGAGATCAAGGCTTCGGATCCACGGACCGACCAGTTATTATAAATTATTTATAATGTGAGTTTTAGAAGACTCCCGACATGCAAAGAAATGGTTATACCATACCAATAAGAAAGCAGCTCGGAAAAGACCATTGCTAAGATAATTGTACCCAGTTTCTTGAAACAAGTGGATAGATAAGAATTATGAGAGTCACGACCTTAGTCAGCCACTTATTCTTATCGAATGTCACCTGCGACACACACATCCACACTAATGCCCCATAGAGGAAAGTAAAGGAATAGCAATACTGTACTGACAAAAGGGATTATTTCTTGTAATTAAACAGGGAAATCTGTTAGACATCACGAGTATGCTAACTTTGCACGCGCAGACGTTCAATAATAATAATAGTGAACAACGAAAATGACAGGTACACTATTGACCAGATGGAAATTCCGCAAAACACATACCTCAAGGACCAGAAGAAAACTACCACTTGCAAACGGTTGGAACATAAAAAAACTCGATCTTGGAAAGCTTACCTCCAAGGAAATCAGACGGGAAAACTGCCAACTTTATCATGAAAACACGACGAATTGTTTGCTGAACGATGGGGTGGGAATAATAGACCTACAAAAATAATAGTGGAAATACGGTAGTATCTGAACATGTGGTTAAAATAATTAAGTCATTGACACAATTAAGAGTTCAAAGCCAGAGTAATTTGGCCGCATATTTAGAAATGAATAAAAAATAAATTACATTAAGGAAAAACCACACAACACGCCAACCAGAAACTGTACTAGTATGTTCAACCTCGGAGGTAACGACATAAGTTCCAGCCGGTAAAGGGTTAATTGTGGCGAGGACAAATTAACAATAAAAGATACTCAACTGATTCATAAAGAAAGTCGCCTAAGGCGAAAGAAAGCCACCTGGAGTAGAAACAAAACGCTACATAACCCCGAACTCGAACAAACATGGCACCCATGTAGCATATACGAATCAACTTTCCAATCCTTTTTCAATTCTGAAATTTCACGTGACTTTTATAATGCAAAAAAGTGAAAAATCGCAAATTTCATTACGACAACTAGCTTTCAGTGCCCATCGTGAAATTTTTGTATACATCTTAGCACTAGTACGTACTTTTCTTTAATACATGTACATGTATCGATATCGGTCAGATGAATTGTTCTGTACTACATCGTAATACACGATGTCAAGATAACTTTCATAGGAATATAATACCTAAAAGTTAAATTTTCGAACTTATATAAAGTCTAAAAATTAAATTTTTTTACTTTTATTTCAAATTACGAATTAAATTATAAAATTTTTAATATAATTGTGAATACTTATGTAAAGCACATTTGAACCCAAAGATTCTTTATAATAAAAATTGTTTGACACTAAAAGATATAATTGTATATATAACAATTAATGCTCTAACCGGGTCGGGTCCAATCTGTGACCCGATCCGGAACGCACATTTCAGGTCGGGTCGGGTTGGGATTCAAATCCAACCTGAAATATTTCGGGTCATCCTAAAAACGTTATTTCTCGTTCAGTATTAATCAAAATTAAACGAAAATTTGTGAATATATACACAATTACATTCCGAACAACTCTACTTAAGACACATAATACAAGTATTTTAGTAAAAATAAAAGTTATTAACGAAAAACAATTTTACGATTTTGGGGCCAAACCTGATCTGAACCTGAAATTATCAATTCGGGTTGATCTCAAACCTGACCTGACCCGAACAAAGCTTTAATAACAATAAAATCAAATATAAATATTGTCGGTAAATTTAAATCTTATTATAAAAGAAAATATCAATAAAAAATAATTACATATAAGAAAAAAGACAACAATATTCAAAATAATACCAGTCACAACAATCAGCTAGCAACAAACAATTTCAATACAACAAATATCACAATTCTTTTAAACCAATTATAACTATTACTTATGGCTTTACAATCCATAAATGATCTTTATCTAACAACTCTTCTAGAACCACTCTTCTTGTGAATAAATAATATAATGCAAATGAAAGAAAGAAAACCAAAACAAAGCATAATAATGATATCATAATGAAAGATGACACTGATGAAGCTGGACCAAGTAATCCAATTGCTGACATCCTATTTTCAAACATGTAAGAATTAACTATACCAATTAAAACTGTTGAACTTGAGAAATAAGTAAGAAAGAAGAAAGACAAAGTAGTATTACCAGTTCTTGCTGACCAATTGTCACTTTATGATATCCTAGAATTTATGGTCAATGCAAAAGCAAATATCTTATTTGATCAACTTATTCGAACTTCTCCTGAACAAAGGCTTAAATTATCCAAAGATTTGAGAAAACTGATCAAATCCAAAAGAGTTTCAAAATGCAAAGCTATAATTGGACAAAAGCTAAGAACTACCTCAGCTTGGTGTGAAGCAAAGATTAGAACTGTATCAATTGATCTAATTCTTAATACTGGAGCATTTGATTGTGTTGTAAGCCATGAGTTCTTAAAGAAATAGAATATCAAGATTCAACAAAAATCTAAAGTCACTATTGTTACTGTAGTAACATAAATTTCTCTAATTCAATAATCTTTCTTTGATTATACGAAATTTTCTTTTTCTTAATTTTTATAATTTATCACCTGATTATCATTATTTTTATCCAATCGTATAATTATCTCA